GAATAATCGCCTGCACCTGCTCCTAAAGTTCGGCTCTTAGCGCCGCCAGCAAGGCTCATTGTCCGCGTGATAAATATACGTCGCCCACGCTTTCGTGCTGTTTCTCACAAATAGTAGGTATACACGCTCGCACTGGGATTTTTCTTACCCAACGTGTCACCTCGTGTACCTATGCGAGTCGGCCGCATAGAGAAACCGACAATAAATTACACTCCGAGCTTTTCTTTTAGCGCTAGAACTATACTGCCCCGGGGCCCAACGAAGAGATGGTAAGCGAACGCCTCTTGACTCCTGAAAACACGCATAGGTATATACGTAGGTGATTTTCTACTTATATTTGTATGCAATATTGTTCCAATGCCCGTAGCTCTGTAATTGGAAATATACGCAATCACACATATAATACATGATACTACACGCGCGTGTAGTGTGTGTACAATGAGGCTGATGTGCCAATTTAAAACCATAAGCCATGTACGCAAGAGTGGAAAAAAGCAAGCATTTTTCTAAAAATCTACAAAATACTCAATGCATATATGTATATATAATAGAATGTGTTCCCCCTTAACGTTAATGAAATTTGGATGGCTCCAAAGTATCGCACCCTGAGCATACAAATATATCTCCGTGAACTGAGCACAATATCCCGATTGACCACCGTCTCCTCGAACGCGAATCTACATCTATTTTATCTCAGTTTCTCCACGAAACTCCTCACCACAAAAGCTGGTGGTACCTCATCACATACGTATATATATATGAGTACGTGTGATTCAAGGCACGCAACCCCTTAAAAGGCAATTGCGTGATTGGCGCGTGTGCGCGAGAAAAAACCCGGGAGAGGGCGACACGCTCTAGATATCACCGAAGCTATAAGGAGCGAGGGATGCTGCAGTGCGACCTTTTTGAGCTATATAGACTGAATTTCATATAAAAAAAAAAACAGGAGCAGGTCTAGTGTATCATCGCGTCATCGCAGCCTACATTCCATGTACCAGCCGCGAGGCTCTCTCTCTTTCTGCGTATACTTACGTGTATAGGTATATGTATAGGTACAGATGTTAGAACGAGCTCGAGTAAGGAACGCCCCAAAGTATGTAATATATACACCTGTACTTCTTATATTATATTGTACTGTGGCATATCCAAAGAGATAGAGACACACACACGGTGTACGTATAACCTGTATCTAATAATCATGTATTACGTATGTATATACACATGGAAAAGGGCTAAACCCTCGCGGCGTATACTTACATGGATCCGCCTGTATGTACGAGTGTACGCGTTCGTATGATAATCATATTTTATATATATATATATGTGGAGGGACGAATGAGAAGATGGGAGAACTCAGTAGAGCCGTGTCCTGTATCTCCCTCTTATCACAGACACGCCACTCGGTGATAATTTAATTTGTTTGCAACTACGTTGGTATAGAACCTTAACTTATCATAGTGCATCTAGATGGAAGTATGCGTTTATGTGGGAGATATTGCGCGCTGTCTAATTATCCGCTTATCGTTTCTTAGACCAACGCAAGAGAGCCCCTATTGTGATGTGTCACTGCTCGAAATATAACGATCATGGCACAAAGTATATACGCTGTGTGACGTACATTCCATGGGATTGTACGCTGATTCGCAGTAAATGGACACTTTGTTGGTTTAAAAAGTTGAATTAAAAAGATTATTATGAACCAGTGAATTTCGTATAGTTAAAGTATAAATTTCTGCTAATAGGCTAATTGAAATCAGCACGTGTTCACAAAAGTTATCACGAGAGTCTAAATTGACGCTCGAAATGGATGTGCTTCGAATCAATTGGAGGAAGGCTGACTTTTACTTAATATACATCCGTAAGATGTTGGCTATTGACTCGATTGTTGGTTCGCTTCGAGACTCCCGAAATGGGAGAGAAAAGAGAAATGTAAATTAAGGATACACCACAGCGATAGTTTCGCTTTCAATTTAAACGTGGCCATTCGTTACGCATCCATCGGTGCTGTTTTATCTGAATTCCTACGGTTTAGTACGATGTGGCATTAGAATAAAATTAGTCTTCCCGAGCATCCGTACACGATAAGCGTGTATTCAATGATCCACAAATCACTCGACTTCCGTGATAACGTACAAAAGATCGGTTGGACGAAAATTATTTAATTGAGAAGCAGTACCGGCTGAGCAAAACCGACATAGGCGCAGCCAAAGCCTGTAATTGGCCACGGCTGCTCTCCCGCTAATTCAATAAGCATTGAGTACCATTGGCCGTGCACTTAATGCCATCGCTGATTAATCGTCAATCACGTAAGAGAGAGCCTTTTGCGGGCCAACCGTATATGTATACTGCTTATCCGAACGATCTTCCCATTACGAAGACGCGGAGGAAAAGTTTCACCCCATAGAAATTGATCTTGTGAAAAATTACGCGGATGAAAAAAAAAAAAAAAAAAAAAAAAGAGTTTAACCGAGTGATTGTTGCATTATCCCTGCGATTCGCTGAGTAATGACAATAACGAGGAAAGGATGGATGATATCCTCTTGGTCCCTCTAATGGCCCTGTATACCAAACTTATAGAGGTATACGTATACCATAAGGCAGTTCAAGATCCGAGGGAAACAATTTCGACGTATCGAAACGAAGATGAAGAAAGAAGGAAAAAAGTTATGGACAAGCCAAGGGATATCGTTCGGCAGGATCGCAAGGCATAAAGGGGGAAATGTTATAGCTACTGCAGTAGGTAGCCCGTGTCCCGCGCACATGTACCGTAAGCAAAGAGCTGATCCTCTTCTTCAAAGTCCGGTAGGTTGTGCCTACCTATGCACTTGGGTGTATATACAACGCGAGAGACTGTCTTCTGCTTCTTCTTGGCAGCGAGGGCTAGAAAATAGCAAAGTCGGCTGGAGTACTGTTACTTGGCCTGTAGGCTGGGGCTTCTTCCCTCTCTCTCTCTCTCTCTCTCTCTCCTTCTTCTTGGCTTCATTGCATGTACAATGCCAACTTGCTGGGATGTAATGTACACCGAACACACCTTTGTTGCCGGGTTTATCGACTTTTCCAATTGCGAGAGGATAGAGGAAAAAAAAAAAGAAGAAGAAAACACTTGACCCGCTTCAAATAACGGTTTCTGGCGCACTTTTAATCGATGTACCTAACTGCATAGAGGAAAATTCTTAGCTTATGTAAAGAGAAAAAGAAATAAATGAGTAGTAGACATTTTTTTCTCCAAATCCATGAAACGTCGTATCGTACTCTTTACGTGAAGCAACGAGATACGTACACATCCGAAGTATGATAATTTTGTCCCGACTATACCCGATACTAGCGATCCTTCGTGCGGTGAAAAATAAAATTTTAAGACCGTGCACGAGAAAAACCGAGAACCAGCGTGTGTGCGGCTGCTGCATTCACAACTGGATTCCGTTCTGACTCGATATCGAGATCTAAAGATAAACGGGGTATAGGTGTTCAACAGACGCGGGCGCGTAAATAATACATCGGGACATTATTTATATACACGTCTTGCGTGATATCCTTTTCATTTGGCAAGTATAATGTCCATGCGTTTAAAGAAAAGGCAATTCATTAGATTGTGCCTTTTAAAATTAATATACATACGCGAGTGATCTTGTTACTTCAGAGCTGTACAGATAAAAACGGGTTTGAAAAAAAAAAACTACCATAAAACTTTTGTTTCGATCAGATGCGAAGCGTTATTTTAGACAGTAGACAGAAGACTATAAAAAAAGGAAGTTTTGGCAGTATTATGACGTTGTTTTAGTCGTCGTTGATGGTGTCAAATAATAATAGTAATATATATATATTCTATTTATATATGTATATGGTTATATCGTAGTATGGTCGTATATACTAAAGTTCAACTTTTGCTGCATAAATTATAAACAGAACTTGCACGAAAAAAACTTTTTTGGTTCTAATGTTCAACTTCTTACTCGTAGTGGTAATTTATCTAATGGATAGCCTGTAAAATGTTAAAAAGCTTAACGACATGAGGTTGCACGAATAAAAGAATACATTTTTTGAGAAGAGGCCATTTATTAAATCTCACAAACAATTATTGTTTTATAAAAAAAGTTTCATAAGATCTACGATTTTTGTTTTTATTGTTGAGAGAATTGAGACGGTACTATCGAGGAATACATACTTAACAAGAAAGTTTTATTTCAATAAGATTTACAATTTATGTTTTTAACACTTTGTCATAAAATTTTAGTTTCCTTCTTTCGTAAGAAAAAACCGATTTTTTCGCAGTTTTTTATCTATAAAATATAAACCTCATCAGATTACAATATTATTTCAATTAGTCGAAAAACTCGATTACGTACACACATACATATATACGCATACCATGCGACCAATTTGGATCACCTTCATATTCGATTCAAAATTTTTTTTAACATCGAAATTAGACGACTTTCAAGTAGTTTACATTTTTTGCTCTGACAAAAACATAAAGCAATACCATATGGTTGTGCATAAAAATAAAAATGGCAAAATAGGGTCTTACCACCAATTTTTTGTAATCATTGACTGACAATTTACTTTACATAATGATAGTTGCTACTTTGAAGCCTCCATCCTCCCTCTGTCGAAGAGTAGCACTCCAAAATTAGGGTTTGCATTGTGTTCAACTAAAAGACTCAAACTTCAGATATTCGACTAAAAGCATGCCCTGATATGTGTTCAAAGTTTGATCGCGTTGACAAGCAGCAGTTTTGTTTTGCGAAAGAAACTTCTTAAAATCGGTTTGTCAGACAAGCGACTAAGATGTATTTTTTAATTAAGAAAAAAATCCCTTGGTAAAAAATAAAGCTAGCCTCGTTATTTAAACAACAATCATGACATAGGAATAGACTCAAACTTTCCCATTAATTGCCGTAGTAGAATTTTTCCGGAATAAAAAGGAAAATAGCAATGAAATTATATACAAACTCTACGCTAGTTTTTTTTTATTTTTATCACTTATCTCACAACGTTTCTTACAAGAAGGACGTTTTATGACGAAAAGTACTGGAAAATGAGGGCAACATTGAATTGACATTCAGCAAATTATCGGTGTTAGTGTTTTCATGCGACATCACTATATCTTCTCGGGTAAAACTAGTCGAACACGGTAGTTGAGAACCGGAAGGCGTTTGATTCCACTCCTGTACCTTTAAACTATGTTTTCGAGGGCAGTTTATGGAACAATTATTGCAGTGACCACGTAAATCACTGGTACCACTCCGATCATTCATTGTGGAATTCTTCTTATCTTGGAAATCTTTCCCACACTGTAAGCAACGGTGGGATACATCACCTGCGTGAGTACACTTGTGAGCTGCCAGCCTTCCCTTGCCACTGAAACTTATACCGCACAATTGACAAAGGTGCAGCTTCACGCCTGTATGAGTCCGTTCGTGCTTAATACGAGCAGACTTTTTGGCAAAACTTTTCGGACATACTTGGCAGGTGTGGGGTTTATAACCAGTGTGAGTCCTCTCGTGAGATTTAAGATTGGATTTTTGAGCAAAACTTTGCGAACAGACTTTGCAGGTGTGGGGCTTCTCACCAGTGTGAGTCTTCTCATGCATCATAAGATGGGATTTTTGAGCAAAACTTTGTAAACATATTTGGCAACTGAAAGGTTTTTCACCCGTATGTGTTCTTTCGTGCGTCTGAAGATTACGTTTTATAGAAAACCTTTTCCAACACACTTGGCAAACGTGGGGCTTTTCACCCGTATGTATCCGCTCATGTACTTTAAGACTAAATTTTCGAACAAAACTTTTTAAGCACACTTGGCAGACGTAAGGCTTGTCACCCGTGTGAATCCTCTCGTGTGTTATAAGAGTGGATTTGTGAGCAAAACTTTTCAAGCACACTTGGCAGACGTAAGGCTTCTCACCCATGTGAGTCTTCCCGTGCACTATGAGAGTGGCTTTTCGAGTAAAACTTTGTGAACACACTTGGCATACGTAAGGCTTCTCACCAGTGTGAATCCTCTCGTGTGTTATAAGAGTGGATTTTTGAGCAAAACTTTTCAAGCACACTTGGCACTTGTAGGTCTTGTCACCCGTGTGAATCCTCTTGTGTGATATAAGAGTGGATCTATGAGCAAACCTTTGCGAACACATTTGGCAGACGTAAGGCTTGTCACTCGTGTGAATCCTCTCGTGTGTTATAAGAGTGGATTTTTGAGTAAAACTTTTCAAGCACACTTGGCAGACGTAAGGCTTGTCACCCGTGTGAGTCTTCTCGTGCACTATGAGAGTGGCTTTTCGAGTAAAACTTTGTGAACACACTTGGCATACGTAAGGCTTCTCACCAGTGTGAATCCTCTCGTGTGTTATAAGAGTGGATTTTTGAGCAAAACTTTTCAAGCACACTTGGCAGACGTAAGGCTTCTCACCCGTGTGAATCCTCTCGTGTGTTATAAGAGTGGATTTGTGAGCAAAACTTTTCAAGCACACTTGGCAGACGTAAGGCTTCTCACCTGTGTGAATCCTCTGGTGAGATTTAAGATTGGATTTCTGAGAAAAACTTTGTGGACACATTTGGCAGACGTAAGGCTTTTCATCCGTATGAATACTCTCGTGCCTAATAAGATGGGATTTTCGTGCAAAACTTTGAGAACACACTTGGCAGACGTAAGGCTTTTCATCCGTATGAATACTCTCGTGCCTAATGAGATGGGATTTTCGTGCAAAACTTTGCGAACACACTTGACAGATGTAGGGCTTTTCACCCGCATGTGTCCTTTCGTGCGTCCTAAGAGTAGATATTTGGGAAAAACCTCGTAAACACACTTGGCAAACGTAGGGCTTTTCAATTGTGTGAGTCCGCTCATGTACTTGAAGAGTAAATTTTCGAGAAAATTTTTTCGAGCAAACTTGACAGATGTAGGGCTTTTCACCCGTATGAGTTCTTTCGTGTATTCTAAGATTATATATTTGAGTAAAACCTCGTAAACACACTTGGCAAACGTGAGGCTTGTTACCTGTATGAGTTCGCGAGTGAATCGTAAGATTACGTTTATCAGCAAATCTTTTCGAGCAAACTTGACAGATGTAGGGCTTTTCAATTGTATGAGTCCGCTCGTTCAATATTAGACAATTTTTTTGAGTTAAACTATTCGAAGTGGAACTGCAAACGTGGGGTCCATTATTCCCATGAATCCGTTCATGTCTCTCAAGAGCAACGTTTGTTTTACAAATTATGCCACGTACGTAGCAAATGTGCAGAGAACTACTATTTTCGGCCATATTGACAATTTGCCACAAAAACTTACACAAGTTGTGGTCCAAGTAAGTAAATGATAGCTATGTTGTTGTTTCCGTTGATGGTTTTGGATGTGGTAATATTTGCACACAAATTTTATTACGTTGGCGGTAGAGCCGATAACGTGTATTTCCGTTTAATAAAGACTGTAAAAAAATTCTTACTTAATTTTGTATACAATATTGTTTGGACTATTATATTTAAGACATTGCTAAGTTTTGATTTGTCAATTATAAATTAAAATTATAACATACACTATTGAAATACTTCAGTTGAACTATGACTCTATCCGATATGAAACGGAGTTGTTTCAAAATTAACAAGTTCAAATTAAATATGCGGCTCAATTTATTTACAACGGTCATTATAATAAAAAAAAATTATTTTGATCAGATGTTTCCGTGACGAAAACTACAATTTTCATTATTTAACAAAAAAACTCACCTTTTCTTTTTCAAGTCCAACACATACTTATCATCTCAATATATTCATACAGCCGACCTTAATCATCTTCGTCGATCTGCTCGGCAGCCTCAAGAAGCCCTGGTATGTCCAAGATTCCACACTGAACCTTACAGGCACTCATTTCTTATCCAATCCACTCTCCTTCTTAATTCGCTGGGTATTACAGTTTTCGACACAAGGTTAAAAAATAATTTCTTTTTAATAAATTGCTTGATTCTGATTCTCAAGATTGGAACCGTGAACAAGGCATTATTCCACGACTCTAAAAACATTTTAAAATTATTTTTAATAAAAACAAATGTATACAATCTTACAGTAGTGTTAAAATAAGTCTAATCAATTACTGTAAATTTATTTATTGACAAATTACACGATTATTACTATTACCAATTTATTAATTATTTTGTCAATTCTAATTATATGTATTCTGCGAACTATTACTTTTGTCAACTCCACTGTATTCTTAATCTATTGTTATTAATTGTGTTGATTAATTGTTATGTATCCTATTATTCTATTCATTATCTGTAAATTATTTGAGAACCAAATGGGTTATACTACAAGGTTTGAATAAAGAATTAATCTCATCTAATACGATTGAGTGGCTATTGTTTTGTCCAACTACTTTTTACGTTCAATTTACCCGTGAAATTGAATATGCTTCCGACTAGTACTGGAATAATATTCGACGTAATATTCGACCACCGAGACTTTAAGATATTCTCGGGGACAAACGAGAAATAGCAATGCACAAAGTTAAATAGTTGCGACAGTTATCTAGGATTTCGTATTTTTTTCTTCCCGAAACTGTTGATGCTACCTTAATAGAAAATTAATTACTTTTTTTGATAATTAAGTCTGAAAATCGGTCAGCAGTCAATTAGTAAAGATTCAATTTTTTATTTCCTCATCGTTAAGTTTTTTTATTATTAAATTTCACGTTTTCAAATTATTTGATTATAATTTCTTGGGCAATGCAAAGATAAAAAATTTGAGCATCGATTTCTACTTGTCTACACCGATTGTAAGTATAAATCATTTCGATATTGCATATTTCTTAATCACATAAAAATTGTAGACTTTCTCAGACTTTTTTCAATATGAAACATGCCGGTTATTTAACAAAAGAGCTAAAACATCGAAATCAACGCCCATCCAAACAATGTATCTGTACATTCAAGTAACAGCTCGACCAAACGTTTCATTCTCGAGCCAATGGACTACACCTTAAAGTTCGACCATACAATAAACCTGCAATAGTACATTACGCACCTAGTGAGCAAGGTCAAGAATGTCAGATTCCACGTGAATTAACGTGAAATCTATAGGGCATTTTTAAACCTCTGAACGTGGTGCGTATACTATTTCTCTGCATACCCTCGTCGAAAGAGCTGATTATCTGTTTTGCCACAGGGCAGATATGAAGCACTTTTGACGGGGTATGCAGAAAAGATAATACACATACAAGTATACCTATTATGGCAGTAACACCGCGTGCAATAAAAAGTACCAGCTTAACCCGTTGGAAACTCATTGCCAGATCCATACACGCATATAAACTGCAAAAGCCGGAAACGCCACTGTACGCGCGATCGAACGGTACAGGTATATTACCTGATGTAATAACGAGGAACAACAGTGCATGGGTACAGTGCAGAAGTGGTATGCATAGTTAACGGAGTCGACATAGGCTTTAAAAGCGCTTAGCGTTGCATTGGCAAAAAAATCGGTAGAGCACAGATAACATGAGATGCCGAGAGGAGGAGCGTCCAAAGTCAATATTATACGTATATGTACAGGAGATACTAAGAGCAAGTAGGTATACAAGCGAGCATTAGACATTTCACGTATTTGGTAAGTACAACCCATCGGGACGAAAAGAGATGCTCGTTTGTGCATATAACACCCGAAGAGAGCGCATTTCTGTCTATGTATAACGTAATGGACTTGTACACTTTTACGTACGCGATTTATCGAGTGGACTCGTGATTAGAATATTGCGTTGTTGAGGTATACCTACGGTTGGTTGTACCGCTCACTACATTAATTACGCTTGAGATTATTTTTTCTTCTTCCTTCTAGACATCGTTTCACGCTTGAATGTAGGTATATAGTATACATATAGGCGCTATTTTGAATTTCAAAAGCTAAAGGCTGGCACTGATGTGTGTGGCACCCATATGCGCGCACTACGGAAAATTTTGTAATTCGAGCTAGATAAAGTAACGCATAGGTGCAGCGAGTTTGCAAAATCGGTGTTTTTTCTTTTTTTTTTTTTTTTTTTTTTTTTTTCTTTCTCCTAACGTCCATTAATTATCGGGTCGATACAATTGGAGATTTTATAACGATGTAACGTATAAAAGCAGGCTTTGAAATTTTCATCCGTATGGTAGAAGACGGGATTTATTATTTTTTTTTTTTTCATTTTTCACAACAAATTTCTGAAATCTGTCTTTGTAAGGAACAAAAAAACTCGAAGGATAAAACGCATGTTTTTCCGTCTCTCTTTCGAAACTTTATTTTTTACTTGCTCTCGGCAGCGTCCTCGTGTACAATACAACTACGCAGGTTGAAAGGGAACGAGCCATGCATCATGCGAAAAAAGGAGAACTGCGTAAATACACACTTGGCATTTGGATTCTCGCTCGCGCCTCGCGGTGCAACAAGTAGAAGCGAATTCTCTCGCGTCTACACGACTTTGACGACAACGTCGGCTTTTGCCTTTAGGCGAATAGACGCTCTGCTATACATACAGAGAGAGAGACTTGTACCACATATGAGCGGCAGATGAAACACTTTCTCCCCGCGGCGCTTCTCTGTGCTGGGTATACTTGTATATGGTAGTCGTCAACGCCGTCGCTACTGGCTAATTAATTTTCTTTCGTTTTTTATTACCGACGACGCCACGAGAACCCCATATGGGACCGATGAAAAGTGAAAAGATAAACGACACGTGCACACGTGCGAAAGACACAGTATTTTCCCCCCGAGAGGCAAAACCAGTTTTCCCATGTTAAAAGATAATCGGTAAAACGATGATCTAAAGTCTTTATTGAATTTTTGCAGCAGATCTCTCGGGACTTTCGCACGCGCGTCGAAAGAAGTATTTACCTCGAAAAAAGCATCGTCAAAACTGTGGGTATAAGTGTATTTACCTGCCGTACGAAACGAGCCCACGCCCACTTTCTAATCTGTCTGCGAGTTGCGGGTGCTTATCAAGCTGCCACTGCTGTGATTCGACACCCATTACCAAACATTTACCCACCAATCGGGGAGTTTTTTCCGATCGGCGACCGATTAGTCTCGAGAAGGAGAGCCTTTCGCAAAATGGCGTCCTCGTCATCTGTCGTTCGACACACATTTGTTCTTCTTGAAGTTTTGTTACGACACCACTAGGTTATATAAGGAAGAAGCGCAAAATGGTAATGAAAAACAGAAAGTTGTCACTCTACTTTCCGTAATGATCGGTAAATGGGTCATTGGAGATCGGTACGGCTTATACTTTTTAAACAGCCCCGAGCATGCGTGAAATCGGCATTTTATCGATTGTATTAAAGACACCTCTACATATAATTATATTGACGAAGTTAACAAGCATAAGAGTACAGGTTGTACACACGTATAGGTAACTTCTCACGCAACTACACAAGTATATAAGGTTGCAAGTTAATCTCGTGCAGCATCGCCTGCTCGCGCGTAAGTACAGATAATTCACGTATAGATCGGTAGGTATAACATATATATTAAGCCGTGCAAACTCTTTGGCTCTCGATAAGCGCGGGAATTTTATTCATCGGACGAGCGCGAATTTACTTTACTTTGCAAAGTGTTCTGCCTATACGTATCATAGATGTAAAAGGGAAAATTGTGTACGGTCTTATGTATAGGCTGTGGTTTTATTTCAACGGGATGTAATGCACTCGCGTACACTCGCGACGCTGCTCGATTCATTATCGTATATGACCGGCTGACTTTTTTTTCCATCGCCGAGTTTCATCGTTTTCTCTTTCAGACACGACTGTTCTAAAGGAGTGCCTTGTATTTTTACCGAAGGAAGATGCATAATATACATTATTCGTGTGTGTGTGTTTCTTTTTTTTTTTTTTTTTGTTAAGCGAATTCTTTCGTCTCATACATTTTATATCTCGTAAGTTACACAAAAATAATAACTATGTGTATACTATTACGTACAATCGAGAAAAGATTTGATCTTTAAATCGTTGATTTCCGCACCTTTCATTGAAAAGTAAAATTCATTGTTTTTAAGCTGTAAAAAGAAAATAAAGCAAACAACAAAATATAATATAAAGCATAAAGTAAGAGTTTAAGGAAAATTACCATAAATTTTTTTTAATTTCTGTATATAAAANTAACAAGAAAGTTTTATTTCAATAAGATTTACAATTTATGTTTTTAACACTTTGTCATAAAATTTTAGTTTCCTTCTTTCGTAAGAAAAAACCGATTTTTTCGCAGTTTTTTATCTATAAAATATAAACCTCATCAGATTACAATATTA